GCAGGGCAGAAACGCAGAGACCACGGTTCCCCCCTCGCCCCATGCAGTGCCACCAGCCCCAGCAGCCAGCCACAAGCCAAAGGACGGGCAGAAGCCACTCGCAGCCCACCAGCCTCCCCAGCGAAGCAAAGCCAGAGCTGTCCCTCTCCCCACGGAGCCCCACATCGCTGCCTGGCGTGCAAACAGCCCTGCGCCTCGACAACACCCCCAGCAAGCAGGACGCGCGGCTTTTTCAATAGAAGTCGGGGTGGCAACGTGCCCCCCATCCTGCCCAAAAGCAGGTCACCCTGCAGATTTCGGCAGGACGCGTTCCGGACCACCTCCATCCCGGTCCCTGCGGCACAGCATCGCTCGTTGGCTCGCCGTTTCCCCGGCGACAGGAGGGGGGTCCTCGGGGCTGGGGTGCGGGGAGGGTGCTCTGCCCTGGCCGGCGTGTACATGCAAGGGGGTCAGGTTGACACTTACCCAGTGAGAGGAGCAAGCTGAGGCCAGTGAGGAACAAGGTGGGCTGCGGGAGCCAAGTTTCCGGGCTCATTTTCAAGGATTTTTGTGTATGGAGAGGACCTGGTGTTGGTGTGGATTTTGGAGGTGGTGGTTTGCTTTTTTCGAACGCCCGGGTTATTTGCAGGTGACATATAACATTAGAGCCGCTTTATTTCCCCAGCCCAATATGGCTGGCTGGAGTGGTGCTGGATTGAAAAAAATCAGTAAATGCTATGGTTGGTGGATTTCTGCAGGAGAGGTGGGAGGGCAGAAAAATTTTCCCCTGAAAAGAAGGCGACAATTCCCGGTGCTCCTGCTCTGTACACCGGCGTCTGGTCCTGGGCTGTGTCGCAGAGCGGCGTGCGGAGCCCAGGGCAGCCAGCGAGCAGGTTTCTGCTGGGATTCCCTCTGCCCGTGCACAGCTTACCTTTGGAACAGACAGTGCTCGGGGCTCCTCTTCCACCCGGGAGCCCAGCGCCCTACAGCACGGCCCTGAGCCTGAGAGTTCCCATGGCCCTTGTAGCCCCCTGGTTTCAGTGGGGCTGTGTCACCCCTGTCCTGCTCGGAGGCTGGCCGCCAGCCCTGCTCACACCACTCAACAGCAGTTCCCATTCTGGAGAGTCCAGCTGGGCCTGGCAACGCCCGAAATGCCCTCCCGAAGGCAGGCAGAGACAAGAGGGACTGATCTGGCCTGGGAAGAGCTGAGGATCCCAGGCAGGCAGCCTGCAGAGCAGCCGGGTCACAGGCAGAGAGCCTGCAGCAGGTAGAAGCGATCCCATGCTGCTGAGAGAGCAGCCCAGCACTTCCCAGGGGTGCTGGACCCTGCCGGCACGTTCCCTGTTAGCGCACTATCCCAAGGCAACTCTCTCTCCTCATCCAACCGTCCGGATGGGGAGGCTCTGCTCACCATCAATGGGGCTGGAAAAGGCCTTGGATCCCCTTTCCATCAGTCAGGGAAGCCTTTGGGCCATGCCCTCCAGGCCTGGATTGAGGCTGCGGACTGGTGCAGGAAGGAGACAGCGCGTGACCTCATGGAGACCAGAAAGCCGGTGCCAGTTCTCGCGCGTGGGATGCAGGACGGGTTTGCTGGGGCAGCAGCAGCGAGGAGAAAAGCTGGGGGTGCCTTGGTGCCAAAGTACATCCCAGTTCTCATGCACCACAGCCCTGGAAGGAAGGGATGGGGCAAGGGGGAGGCAGGAGGGATGCAGAGGTGCTCTTCTCCCTTGGCCAGCCCCAGCTGGGGAACCGGAGCAGCTGGGAGAGAAGTGCCAGGGTGAACACAGGCAACGCGCTGCGCAAACACACTCCCTGCGCACACAGCACGCTTTCCCAACCGTGCTGGGCAGGCAGAGCCCGCTCTGCTCAGCTCAAACGGGTCCCACAGCCCCACACAGGCAGCGGAGGTCATAGGTAACCCCACCCCGACACCCCCAAATCAGCTCTGGTTGCCAATTCCTCCTGTAAAGCCGTCACTTGGCTGCATCCAGGAAAAGAGAGTAGGGTGTCAACGTGAAACCAAGGACTGCAGCCCGGAGCAGCCTGTGCTGCAGTCTCTCATCTAGCAGAGCCGGGTGGGAGGTGGGGGGTGGTCCCCAGCAGCTCCCGCTCTGCACCTGGAGGTGTCAAACATCTATATATAGTGCAGGAGAAGAGCCAGCACCCGCTCCAGTTGCTGGGCTCCCCCGGCCAGGGCAGCGAGCCCCAGGTGTAGGGTGCACGGGGACCCGCTCACCCACT